ATCTTTTGTCTTGTTTTGGTGGCTGGATTCTTCTACAATAATACCATTTAAATTATACAGCTGTATGGAAAAGTATAAGACTTATTTTGTGTAACAAAGTTTGCTTCTTCTCTATATATATTTATTTGGACCAAGACAGGCATGTATGGCCTAATGCAGATGCAATACTAAGGTACCTAATGAGGAAACCAACTTGTCAATAGAGAACTGAAAATTACGTCATCTTCAGTCAAAGCATTAGTGTTTTCCTTAGAAGGAAAGGCTAAAGTGAAGTTACAAAGTATAGCATTGTGCATAACACTTGCTAAATACACCCCTTCTTAATTTCTATCAACCTATAAGGAAAATAACACCTCTTTGCCTCAGTAACTCTTAAATTCCCTGAAGCCTGTCTCAATCTATATATGAGCTGTGATACTTACGGTGATGAATTGATGATAGAGTGACCTAATGAGTTAAAATAAACTTTAAGATTGGTGAAACTCAATCTTAAGTAACATTAAATAACTTCTAGTTGATTAAACAAGTAGAATATTTAACTAACAGTAAGGAATAAAATAACCAGTAGAATATTAAGTAACTTCTAGTTGATTAAACAAGTCACATTTAAAAGCAAGGTAAACAAACCAAACCACCTTGCACAGTGCACATAACTTCCATGCCTAAATATCTTAATTTATTCATATAATAAATTAACAGACCAGAATAATGAAGTGCTCTGGTTGCTCGTGCCTTTGGAAATCCCATTACTTCAAGGTCTTCAAGCAATTTTTCGTTCACTTTTGGAACAGCCATTTTTATAAAATAAAATGATAAACTGCAAAAAAAAGAAAGAAAAAAAAAATCATTTATTCTTGTAAAATCTAATAGTTCATACAGGTTGCCTCTCATACTCATTAAGACTCCAAGATTATGAGTTGTTCAAGTTTGTTGAATGAATAAGATAACATAATCCCTTCTCAGAATAAATTTATTCTAGATAAAGAAGTTGAAAACCACCCTCTCAACCCACATTACAATTCCTGGATAAATGGTTTTAATTTGTGGTTATTGTGTAACTTCTTTGTGTATATTGAAATTATAGAAAAATTTGAAACTGCAATTATAGTTGCTATAGGATTGCAAACCCCAACTATGGCTGTAGACCATGATTTAAAACAATGCCTCGATGGACATTAGCAATTTTATGGAACCACAATAAAGTGCCAACAAATCCTCATATATAGTGCTTAAGGGAGGTTGGCTATATGGATCAAACCAGGCCATCCAAATTATCAAAAACCAAATTTTAAATGTAATGTCATTTTCAGTGAGCTATAGTGTATGAAAGAAAAATCATAGATGAAAGAAAGATTCAAAAGCATGGGGGGAAATCCAGCAACTGATGAACAATGATTTGGGACATTAAGCATTTAAATGAAAATAAAATGTGGCATAGAAGTTGAAGACTTGAAATACCGTTTTCAAGTGGTAGGGTGTTTGGTGGTGATGTAGAAGACAATTAAGGAAGCTCTGAAATGGTATAAATCTGTTCAAAATTCTTCCAGTGATTTCAAGCTAAAACCCACCATGCAAGCAACTACAACTTGAAATACTATGGAAGAAGATTCTTTCACTGCTGCGACCAAATTCTGGGATTTTCTGAACTTTCTTTTTATTTGTTTCTTTTGCCATCAACATTCTCATTCTTTTCCTTTTGGTTTGCTTGTTTACTATGAAAGGAACTTTGTTCCATGCATTCTATTGAAGCAACCCTTTCTGAAGGTAACTAGAATAAAGTTTTCATGTTCTTGAAGCAGAACAGTACTTGCTAGAAGCTCCGATCAAAGAGCCTTGGCACCTGTCCTGAACCTGCATGGGACTTAAATCAATTAAATTTTTTCTTAAAAAAAAAAAAAAAACGAAAACTCCGATCGAAGCAAATTAATAAATTCAGCTGGAGTTAGGTTAATTTATTTGGTTATAATGAATTTTATTCCGTTTGGTTAACAATTATTTGTCATGAACCCTTTTGTCTAAAGTTTCAAATAATAAGTTGGTTGAATTTACTTATTTTTTTAATTTTATAAAACACAGCATAAATATTTATAAAAATAAAAAAAATACTATACAGAATTATTTTTGGGACATTTCAAACTGGGTTTTACATTAACTGTTCTTGTTATTTCCTTTAACTTCATATTTATTTGAAAAATTAATACTTTTTTTTAGAATTGTAACTATTACTTTTATAATTGTTTTAATTATATCCCTCCAATAAATTAGTATAATTTTATTGATCGAGTGTTTTTTTTTTTTAGAAGGGTAAAACTTCAAAGTAACACTTTAGTCTTTGAAAATATAAAAATTCAAAAATAATTCATAAAAGTGTAAAATATTATTTAGTTTAGTCTGATATATATCAAAATACTTAAAATTTAAAAGAAATCTATTAAGATAATTAAAATTAATTTTTAATATTTATTTTTGACAAGAATAGACTAAAAACATAAAATATACTTGATAACTACCTAAATTCATTAGAAGATATATTGTTGATGATACTCTATAGGTGATATTGGTATTTAACACTCAAAGACTTTGTACAATTATGCATAAAATTTAGAATAAGAGAAAGATAATTTCAGGGTTGAATTGCTCTTTATTTTATTAATTTTTTTTCTATTATTCTCTACAATACATTCATATATTTATAAACTGAAATAAATCTTACAATGTTATAACAATAACAAATGTGAGTCACATGTACTACTAAACGTGACTTATGACAGCACATGTAATTCCTAGGAATTTTTCTTCGAAGAAGGGTGTTTAGAAGTTTTTTTAACTTCTTATCATTTTTATTTATTATAATTATTTATAAATTAAATTTTGATACTTTTAAAAAAAATTATCAAATAAATAAAAATATCACTATGTTATAATATAAATTACTTATCATAAATCTAAAATATATTTTATATATTTTAAATATCTTTTTATACAAATTTTAAATATGATTTATATATTCAAAAATAATATTTATTTATGTATAATTTATTATAAATTTTAATCATATATAATAAATATTTTGTTTGTGCATAACACAAACTAAAATACTAGTAATTATTATGATAAATAAAATCCCAGATAAATTATGAAGTTAAAAGAATCCATAGAAACTCTCATGAAAGAAAAATCTAAAAAATGCTCTATTCATATTTAATAGGTCAAATTATACTTATAGTCCTTTATTTTATTTTTTAGATTTATTTTAGTCTATTATCTTTTAAAATGTTCATTTTATTCCTTTATCTCCTAAATTTGGATATGTTTAGTTCTTTTAAAATGATGATTATTTTTAATTTTGAGAGAAGATTTTGAATCTTTTGTTCACTAATTCAAGACTTAAAATATATCTAATTAGATTCACCTATATAAAAACTATTTAATGAAATTAAAATCAAAAAGTATTATAAACATGATGAAAATTGCATACAAAAAAGTCGAAAAAATAATAAAATAATTCTAAAAATTTAATTTCTTATTTTTTAATTGCTTATAAGATATATTTTTTACATGATTTTCATTATGTTTATTACTTTTTTGGATTTGAACGTTAATTGAATTTTATAGTTTTAATGTAGGTGAATATAATAATACAAGTTTTAAGTTTTGAATAAGTTAATAAAAGATTCAAAAATTGTCGCTCAAAATTAAAAATAATCACTATTTCAAAAAGATCAAATAAATTCAAATTTAGGAGATAAAATATCAAAACAAATATTTTAAAAAATAAAAAATAAATTTAAAAAAAAAACTACGGAATGTGTTGGATTGAGATTTCAAAAGACAATTTTAACATAAAAAAGTCTTGTGAATTTTAATGGATTTTAAAAGACTTTATAAAAATGTCATGACTTTTAGAAATTTTTTTAAAATACTTTTAAAAACTTGAATATTTTAATGAATTTCTATTATAAGATTATAAAGGATTTTTATAAATTTCACAAAAAAAAACGTGAATTTTTAATATTACAAGGTTTAATAAAAAAAACCATAACATAAATAATATAAAAATAATAATACCAACACAATTTTTATATCTTTTGGCAAATAATTGACTTCAAAATGTCCTCTTAACTAACATTTATTCACATGTCTAAAGTTAAACTAACCCTCTATATATTGTCATATTCTCTTTCATGCACTTAAGTCTGAACAATATGTTCAAAATTATGGTCTTCATTAATTGGTAGTATTAAAAATGAAGATTATCTACTAATTTAATTGAAAATTAATTAAAATGACATTCTTTGGGAAAAAAAGTTATGTAATGTTATATGATTATATAAGTTCAACTTGTGTCTTAAATAGAAATAGAGGTCCTTACTTAAAAAATTTTAAACGTAATTTAAAAATACTAAATATCATCTCAATTACATTTCTTAAGGAAGCATGACATTAATTGAAATTTTCATTTTCTTTTGAGAATCATTACAATGACTTGCAAAGACTTCTTAATATATGTTTCAAATTTTTATATTTTAATATTAAATTTTATTAAAATAAAATTTAATAATTTAAAATTTTTAATAATAGATAATATTTAATAATACAAAACTTATTTTAAATATTTAATAATTAAAAAAAATATTGATAAGTTATACATCAATTGATAGATAAAAAAAAATAAAAGAAAAAGAAGAAGAGATAAATGAGAGAGATCAATAAAAAGAGAAAGAGAAAAAGATAGAGAAGAAAAAGAGAAAGAAAGAGAAAGAGAAATAAGCAAAACAAGAAAGGCAAGAGAGAAGGAGAGAGAAAAAAAATGAGACAAAGAAGAAGAAGAAGAAATTAATGAAAGATAAATAAAAGAAAAAAGAGAAAATGAGATAGAGAATAAAAGAAGAGAGAAAATCAAGAATGATTGAAGAGAATGAGAAAAAAGATTCAAGAAAAAGAAAAAAGAAAAAAGAAAAAAAAAAGAGTAGAAAAAAAATTATATGAAATTTCAAGAGTTTTGTAAGATTATTTGTAAATTATACTAAAAAGTCTCACAAAATCTATTATTTAAAACAATTAATATAAATTTTTATATTTTTTTTCAACATATTTTTTAAGTAAAAAAAATTGGGGGTGTAAGTGGGTTATGTTGGGCTGGGTTGGGATAAACCCATTACCTAACCCAATCAAAATTTAACGGGTTGGGTTGGGTCGGATTTGTGTAACTTTTTTTTAAAATTCAATTCAACTCAATCCAATCACGAACAAGTTGAGTTGGATTGGGTTAATCTTATCGACATAATTATATTTATTTAATTTTTATAAAAATTTAAATATTTCAAAATAAATATAAATTATTTGTTACATTGTTGTAAATTTAATGTTATCAACCTATAACGCAAACAATGATACAAATTAAATTTTAAAATAAGTTTATTAATTTATTACATTATTATCAACTCAAAAAATCAACATTAATTAATATAAAATAAATTTTAAAATAAATATATTGTATTAAAACACAGAACTTGTTATTAAGTAAGAGTCACAGTGAATATTGTCCTGAGCAAATGATCATTCAAACATTATTATTATTATTATTATTATTATTATTATTATTATTATTATTATTATTATTATTATTATTATTATTATTATATATGATTGGGTTGGGTCGGGTTAGTAACGGGTTGAAAATACAAAATTTGTTACCCGGCCCGTTCAGTACCAGATTTTGATTAACTTGAGTTGGATTGAATCTAACCCGAACACTGAATAAATCCAATCTGAACTTATTGAGTTTGTTTGAGTCAGTTTGATTTCACAAATTACCCATATCAACTTACACCCCTAAAAAAATATTAATTAAATATCACCAAATTTTGATAAATTTTTAAAAATATATTTACTAAATACCTTCATATATATTCACGAATTCTTAAAAAATTATAATTGTCTCGATTAAATATTATAACTTTTATATTAAAAAAATCTAAATTAAATACTAAAAGACTTTTTTATAAAAAATTTTAAAAAATTTCATTGAAATTCTAATTCAATATATCTTTTAAAATAATATAATGATTAAAAATATAATTTAACGTATTTAACAGTGTTTTAAAACCCGGACCGACCCGGCCGGTCGGACCGGTTGGACCGGGAACCGGTGGTCCAGCCGGTCCGAATCTGAAGTTGGATCGGTTATGCAGTCGACCCGTTTCAAACCGGATTGAACCGGTCAATTTTCCGGTTCAACCGGTGAACCGGTGGGTCAAACCGGTTCAACCACTTTTTTTTTTATTTTTTTTTAAATTTTTTTAAGGGACCATAAATCACAAAAATAATAATGAAAATTGAATCTCTTAATGAAAAAGCAAGGAGTCTTATTAAATATAACAATGACTACTTGTTCTAATATATTTGTTTGCAATATATACAACTTAAATAACTTTTATAGTATATTATTAATTTTAAATTATATATTTAATAATGCAATATCTATGTAAATATTACATATATTATTTTGTGATATTAATTGCAAGCATATTATATATGTACATATTATTTATATTTTTAATTTGTATTAATATACCGTTTAACATGTAATTTTTTTATGTATTTTTTTACAAAATAAAAATAAAAATAATTTTAAATAAAATAGAAAAATTGAAATTTAAAATAAGATATGAATTTATTAAAATTTATAAGTATAAAATATATTTAATATAAATATTTTTTAATAAAAATTGAGTCATGCGGTTCAACTAGTGACCTACCGGTTCAACCTTTGACCCACTGACCCAGTACCTTAACCGGTTCGATGACCGGTCCGATTTTTAAAACTATGGTATTTAATATATAAGAACCAACAAAGAAAGTGATTGTTTATTTAAAAATAAATAAATAAAAGTGGAGTGTGGCCGTGGGCGATCCATGTGACCCGACCCATTCATCCATGCACACAGCACACCCACCCTTTCTCTTATAGACACTTCGAGAAAACGCAGGATACACATGACATCGCAATCGTAAATACTCGAAACGGCAACAAACGGAAAGCGCGAAGACACAATCATCATCACTGACCTTAGTATCGCAGCTCTGAAACTCGTGCTTATTCACAACAACTGGTGCGGTATCACAAGCCATGATGATGTCAGGGGACATGGGCAGAGAGATTAACATAAAGCTGCTATGCCCCTCCCTCTCAAAGGCCACTCAGGTGGTGGCCTGGGCCCACCAGAAAATCGACCTGGGCTCCATCTCCCGGGCCTTTGGGCTCGACCCATCAACGCTCAGGCTCAACGGTCACTTCATCAGCAGAGGCCTGGACCTCGTCGCCTCTTCCGTCACTTGGAACTCTCTCCTCTCTTTCTTCTCTTCTAAGGGGTTGTCCACTTGCTATGACCACCGTCACGCTCTTATCGTCACCGGCAAGCTCTGCAAAGTTGGACACAAGCGTATGTCTCTCTGCTTTCCTCTTCTTTTTTTTTTTTAATTTGAAAATTTTGCAATTCATCGTGGGTTGTTTTAGAGCAATTGAAGGAGTTTCTTGCGAGGGAACTCTTGTCTGTGGTATATACGAATAGGTCACGTGAATGTCAGCTATTTACCTATGTTTGGATGAGTGGAAAGAAAATATAGATTAGGATGTTTTTCTTTCATTTAATTGCTGAATGAAGTGAGAGGATTTTAAAACGTTGGAATTACAATTCCTATACCACATTTGGACTTAGAAAGCTTTGTGTCAGTGTTTGATTAGGGCCAACTTTAACACGGTGCTTAATTAGTTGGAAAGGGATGAAAAAAGACAAGTTTTTATAAGCTTTTCTTGTTGTTTGGTTGAATTTTAGGAGGTGAGGGAAATAAAGGAAGGAAAACTTTTCTCTCTAATTTTAACTTCCCTCTATATTATGGAATTTAGAGAAAAGAGATTTTAAAACATGTTTAGTATAATATTTTTAAAATATCCTTATTTATATTTTTAAATGTTTAAATATAAATTTCATTCATATAATTTATTGTTTTTTTTTTATTTTTGGTTCATGTAAATTTTTTGTTGTTATTTCATTTCTAACATTTTATAATATTTAAAAAATAGTCTTTATCATCAACTACCATTAGTAAAAATCTTACTTAAAAAACAAGATACATATTATATTTCATATATTTCAATTCATTATTGCCATGTAGATAAATTAGTTTTAAATTTTTTTAGGACAAAAATTTCTAAATGTATTTCACTACATCCTCATCCAGTCATTCTCACTCTCGTGGTTGCATTTTCCTTCTTCAACAATGCAAATCCTAAACTGAAGTTAGATGAAAAACACATAAAAGGGGAGTTGAATATGTGCGTGTGACTAAAGGAATTTTAAAAACGTTTTTGCAAGAAGACTCTTTTTCATTCAGTAAAATAGTATAAGTGAATGCTAAACAGAAATTGCTTAAGATTGGTTTAACAAAATCATTTTCCGTCTGGGAGTTTCATCGTCTGTTTTTAGAGAAAATATTTCTTAAATAAAAATCGTTCTTTAAGATAACAAATTGAACAGGTATGATTTTTTTTTCTGAAGATAGTTTTAATAGACGATAAGTATTGGACGAAGTTTTTTGTATATTAGATCAACCAATTAAAGTGCATTTGAAACATTAAAGCATAGTGCAAGTATTTTTATACTGGTTCACTCAAACTGAGTTACGTCCAGTCTCCTTTAAATGAAGGGTTCCAATAAATGTTCAATGAAGTATAAGTATTGTTTGTTCAGTCTCTTCAGGCTCGCAGTGAATATTATAGACCACCCAGGTCACGACCACTCCTGATCCCAAAGTATTATCAACCACTCTTGGCTCGTCAACTTCACTCGTCGACGCTAATATTCTTTGATCAGCCACTTCTGACTCTCAATGAGTATTCTCGACCATCTCCTGGCCCGCTAACTTCACTATTAGCGCTTGTATTCTTTAATCAGCCACTTCTAGCTCTTAGTGAGTATTGTCGACCAACTCTTGGCTCGCTAACTTCACCATTAGTGCTAGTATTCTTTAATCAGCCACTTCTGGCTCGCAGTGAATATTCTTTGACAAGCCTCTCCAAGCTTTACAACTACAAGTATTGTTTCCCTAGCCTCTTCAGGCTTTACATATAATAACTAAACTGGTTTGGTTTAAGTGTTTGAGTTACTCTCATAGAAAGGATACATAAGTTGGTACACTCACTAAGGTATGCAACCTTAGTTTTTACAACGATTGAGTGTTGGTTTACTCTCACAAAGAGGATACATAAGTTGGTACACTCACTAAGGTTCATGTTCCTAAGATGCACACGCTTGGAACTCCTTAGTCTACAGAGATAATTATATTATGGTATATTTGACTCTATACACTCTATCTCTAGTTACTTCATGGGCTTGATATCACTTCTCTTTTTATGCCGAAAAGCCAACCTTTCCAGGTTTGAAGTTGTGATATATATAGTCTTGTAGAATTTGCTCGTTGCAAGTGTCCGTTGAAGAAGATATAAGCGTTCATGACTAGTTTGCTCTTTCATTTAATGCTCAAGATCTTGCATTAAATGTTGCTTCCTGTTTATAGACATTGCGTGAAGTTTTTTTCAATTGTTAGTTGTTGTGTTTGACTTTAACTAAGACCTAGGAACCTTTTTGTCCTCTTCTGGTCACGTAGCTGTAGAGCGTTATCCTTATCTGAAAATGTAATGTACTTTTTCTAACACATGCATGTTTTTACTTTTGCGTGTTTTTCTTCTTCTTCTTCTTTTCCTTTGATCACGCGTTTACGTTGAGAGCTTTCATTTGATCGTAGACGATGCCTGAGTTGCCCTTTGAGACATGATTCCTTGTTTTCTTTCATGGCATTCTTCGTCTTCATCTGTTGGTCCATGTACGTCTCAAGTCGTGATTTTCATGAGTATTTGACGTTGATGTTTTGACTTTCTTTTGGTCTGATCAGCATGATAGATGGGCAGACATTGTTTCTGTCTGAGATACTTTTCGATTTGTGCTGTCCTCTGTTTGATGTGCCATTGACTTTCTTCTAATCTTTGACCAACCTTCGTTTGATTTGCTCTCTAGGTTGTCCTTGACACATCTATCGTCTGATGTTTGATTCATTATCGTGTAGTGCATATTTCATATACCTTCTATCATTCAACTTTATTTACTCTTCATGTGATCCTTATGCTAAGATTTGTCTTGACTCATCTTCATCTAATTCTTGAGGTTTTCCTCTTTATCTTGATTTTGGAATAGGAAGTGGCACATGTACATGCTCTATTCTTTAGCTTTCCTGTACTTATGTTTTTCTGAAACACTAACACACTTGTTAAAAATAACAACATGTATTATATTTGTCTCATTCAAAACCTTGCTGGAAATTGCTTCATCTGACTTAACATAAACCTCTCAATAACTTCAATCCCCCTAATGAGGAGCAACTTCTGACAATTCACGATCATAACAACAATGTCGGGTTCATTCTCAACAATCACTGTCTTTGCGAGATTGTCACCTCACTATGCAAGAGTTTGACCTCACATTCAACTATTCTCCCATCGTGTAGTAGCTCATGTGTTGTAAGAGCGTCTACTACTTTGATGGTACTACCACCAATGCCTCATCCTCCAAGCTCAAGAGGAATAGTGTTGATTGGCTCAAGATCATTAAGATCATCATTACCTACTACGACTATTGCAATAGCAAAGAGCGAGACACCTCATCAGAGAAGGGTGATCGGTGGTCTAGCTCCACAATCCTCGACAATCAGGATGTAGTTTTCCACTTCCATAGTCTAAAGAGGGTATGCGTGAATAATACGATGGATTGGTAATAATGAAGTGCATTTTGAAATTTTGTCTAAAAATATTGAAATTAATTTACATATGTGACAATGGTGAGGTAAAATATAACGAATATAATATGCATTCCATTTGTCACATAGGATTTTTAATGAAAGTTGATGGTAGGAACTATTTTTGAAATGTTATAAAAAGTTAAAGATGAAACAACAAAAATATTTACAAATACTAAAAGTGAAAAATCTATAAATTACATGGACGAAAATTATATTTAAGTCTTTTTAAATTTAAAGTTACAAGGGTATAACGATAAACTAATTTTTAAAATCTCTCATCTTATGAACCAAACAAGAAAAAAAGGTGTCCCCTCTCCTCTCAACTAAATGAAAATTTTAACTCCTTCACTCCCTTTTCCTCCCTTCCCTTACCCTCTCCTCCATTAAAATTCCTCCCTTTCCCTATTTTCCTTTGAACCAAACATGTCCACATGGTTCAAATAAAGAGAGAGCTCACTTTTAAGAGATAAATTTATTTATTTTTATTTCTTTCTATTCAAATTTAAAAAAATTTCTTTCCCTCTCACTTTTCCTCTATTAGACGGGTAATTAAATATATGGTCAAAATTGGTTATTCTTACTTACATTTGCATTAAATTGATGATCAAGATGATTTTATTTAAATTTAATTTTTATAATCTATGCTGATTGAATGCTGGTCATTTAATTATCCGGGATGCTATTTGCCTATTTGTCAGTGATTAAAAAAATATTTAAATATATTTTTAGTCAAACAAGTATATGTAATTTTGATCTTCTAAATTTTAATTTAATAATTTTAATCCTTCAAATATGACAGTAATATAGTACCATATTATCTGCTCAATGTTTTGAGGTTATTTTCGTTGCTGCGTTGTTTTGGCTAAAATTGAAGTCCATTTTATATGTTCGGTTCTTTAAATAATGTTGCTCTGCATGGCTGCTGAGAAAATTTAAGTGGGAGGACAAGAGAATTTATCAGCAGCTCTTCTTGCTTTGTTTTCCAATGTAATCTTGAGATATTCCACTTTTTCTTTTTGTTGGGTAAGATATCTCTTAGAGCAATTGCAATGACATAACTGTCTCTGGGATATATAAATCCTCAAGTGGAAATGGGAAAGAAAAAGGGGAGAGTGCACACTGAAGAAGTATTAACAGAATTGTACTTCCTAAAATAATTTTTTGTGGAACCATGCCTAATTTCTCAGAAATGTCACATAATACCCAAAAATTTTGGACTGTTTAGTTCTTCACAATCATTCCACTCTTACATAACATCCGCTCCTATTTTTTGAGTCTCTATTTTCTTGTGTTTTAATTACTTCTTTCCAAAGAGTATGTTGGATATGTAGAATTAGGAAGATAAACAGTGTGGTCACTTAAGGTATTAAATTGGAGTTTCTTACATAGTGGACTTTGTTTGATCATGCAGGAGGACATGACTCGCAAGATTTTCAAAATGGGATTGGCAAGGTGATTGAAAGCGAGAATGCTGGTAACAGGAAAGGAATTCAACTAGAAGCTGACAACATGCACAAGAATAAAAAGTTAAAAGAGAGCAATTCAGGTAAAGAATTTTAGTTAATTGTGATGAACATATAACTGGTATTTGAATCAAATGTTTCCTTGTAGAACCATGGACAAGATATAAAGCAGGCATAATTCAGTTTGACGATTATAAATAACATTATATAAGATTGTGTCATCATGCTATGTATCTCCAAGCTTGTGGTATTCGGGAGTTACCTTACCCAACAAGTTTGTAAACATTTAAAGTTGTTAGATGAAAAGCTCAGGAAACTTGTTGCAATTTTGCAGAAGTCATTTTGGTGCATTTTCGTGAGAAGCAATATTTGTATTTTTTTTTTAAATAGTTTATTTTCTTATGCTCTTTTCAAAAGGTGAGATTCTGATTGGCCAAACTTGCAAGAGGAAGCAACTATTGGAAGATGTCAACCAATTCAAGAAGCTAAAAATAAATGACGACATGTCAGGCAAGTTCTGCATTCCTCATCTCTAAACTTACTCATGGTAATGGAGAATTTTGTCAACTCAGGATTTGACTCTTCTAAATTTAGTGAAATTAAAGTAGTAATTTAATTTTAGTCATTGATGAGAAAATCAATGGTTGATATTTCAACACATTCAAAATATCTATAGTTGATTTTCTCATGAACGACAGAAATTACTTGTTTTGCCTTTTAAAAGTGAGTTGCTCACTTTACATCAACTCAAGCCATGCCCCTCCCAATCCTAAGAAAGAACTCGTTATCTGTTTTAACAGACATTCGAGATCAAGTTGATAACATCTCTGGCAGCATTGCACCCAACCAGTTTACATGCAGCTACGCAAGTAAGAATCTGAAGCGGATAAGGGAAGACGAGGCCATTGTGGCAGCTAATTACAAAAGGATTAGATAAATTCTCTCGAGCGAAAAAAAGAAAAAAGGAGGAAGTATAGTGCACTATTTGGCATTTTGTTTTCGTTGCCTTTCCCCTTTTCATTTTTGATCTAGTTAAAAGCTGTAAATTCGTTGTTTGATATGCTGTGAAAATATTAAAGAGGTGATAAATATTAATGAGCCAGTGCTTCAGAAGATGTAAATATTAAGGATTAAACCATTGGCACTTTCATGTGCTCCTAAAATCAAATTTCTTGTTGAAGAATTGGATTGGGAATAAATGATTGACAGCCTAATTTCTTCAAGTCTCATGTGCTCATGAAACAATTTAATATCCGCAACATGGAGAAACAAAAGTCTTAAAATCTAGTGAGTAAGCAAGTGGCCACAATTTTTTTAAGTCAGACAGCTATAGCCAAATCTTGAGCCTAGCGATGTGAATTCACTTGGAATTCTGGCTGCCTTATTTTGAAGAGTTAAAAAGAAAAAAGGGTTTTCGTGCCATGTTAATGAGATGGGTGATCAAGGGAGAGCATATCTCTCATGTTTGTTCACTCGAGAAAAAAAAAAGTACAAAAAAGCAAAAGTAAGTCGCCTATGACTGAGGTCTTGGTCATTTTGAACTTCATTTCACAGTAAAACTAAAACTACATTTTTTTAATTGGCTTGCTCGGTTTACCAGTGCAAAGAACAATGAATGTAAGATAGTTGTTATAAAACGGATATTAAATGTACGGTAAAGGACAGCAGTGCCTCGTTTCTAGGTTGTTTATAGGAGGAATTAAGGCAGATGGTATTGCAATTTATATTAGTTAAAATGTAAAATCAGATGGACAAAATTGTTTTTTTTTCAATCAATTTGCTCGTGTACATGTACTGTTTTGATGAATTAGAAAAAGAACATGAAAGCAAGCACATCTAACAGTGGAAGGTTTGTAATTTGTATCGTACATAAAATATGTGCAATTACATTACAATATAGTACATGTAAAACTACCTGATTGGAAGATATCATTGAGAGTAGTATTGCCATGCAACGGCAATTCCTGCTACCATTAGTACTCTAAGAATCAATTTTGGACTAACAAAGGGTGATGATGACGATGATGGAGGGGATGGAGTCGATTCCGAAGGTCTACCTCTAAGTTTGGCAGATAATTTATTTAGCATCCGACGGAGGAACACAGCTTTTTTTGCATCTACAGGTAGAAAAGTACAAGACGTTAGAAACTAAATAAGAATACTTAAACCAAATAAATGAAAGGGAAAGCCGGGAGCAATAATGCATAAAACTAGGCCTTTAAACAATAGTGAATGATATAAAGTACATGTTACTCTTAAAGATCAAATTTAGATTAAATCTACTACACCAAAGTTCTCTGTGTGTGTGTGTGTATATATATATATATATATACAGAGAGAGAGAGAGAGAGAGAGAGAGAAAGAGAGGATGGATGAAGTTATTTCTAGAGGAACATTAAAAGACTTACTCTCCATCTTCACTTTTTATTTTCTCAATCTAACAAATAACACATCTTTGACTATTAGATTAAAAGAAAATAAAAGATAAGGATAGAGAATAACTTGATTCCCTCTATCAAGTTACTTCAAGAGAAACTTTAAATGAGTTATTTTCCATTTTTTTAGTTTGATATCGAATATTCATGTCTAGTTTGTCATAACTGCATGCAATCATAAATACCAGTGAAGAAATTAGGCAATAATCTGGAAAACTAACGCAAAGAGAGAACAAAGTGAATCTTAAAAGGTGAGATGAGGATGCTTTCTTTTTTATGAATATTAAGGTAAGAATGTTTTATTAATTACGAAAGCACCATGCTTGGGGATTTACTCATTGTACAGAATTGAATTACTCAATTACTTGCGTCCCAGGATGCTGATGCTACAAAAGCTTAGCTTTACCTTTGTTTTTCAAAAGTCTTTCCTCCTCCCCAACACGTCTTCGGAGAACATTTAGCAAAGATCCAAAATACAACGCAAAAACTGTGCATGTAATTGTGATGACATTGTATGGCATACTGAAATCAGGAGTTGTCAAGGGTACAAGTAAAACTTCTGTGTACGAGAGAACAGGACTCCTTTCCTACATTATAGATCCAGGCAGTTAAAAGCATGAACAAGGAATATTATACGTTTAAGAGTTATGAGCAGAGAGTGCGGATCCAAATAACCTGTAATTTAGACAACAGTGGTGACTTGCTTTGAGATTTTTCACAAAATTGCAAACCAGCATGGAAGTCAGGAAAGCTTATTATGGCCGATGGAATGTCAAATCCTTGATTAGCATCTGGGGGGTATTCATCAATGTGCAAGAAGCCCTATGCAGACCAACAAAAGCATGTCAAAATCCAATTTGATATGAAGTAGAAACCAATTTCCCATTCATCCATCATAAAACAATCTACAGTAAACAAATTGCATAAGGTAGCTTCCAGTGCCACATTTATAAAACCACAAACAACTGTCAATTTTTATGCTGCGGTGACATATTTGCACGCTATATAATTAAACAGATCAGCCAGGGCAATTTGAGCATAGCTGCCAGAAAGAGAAAGGGTTAAGTGGGCTGGTGTTTTACTGTACTGGTCATTTTAGGGTAGACCTGTGAGCTAAATAGGTAGATCACCTTTACTCAAGCAGAACCAGTGTTAGACCTGGCTCAGTTGACTTCCATAGCTACTTTTAAAATGTTATAAACATAAACCAAATTGATATTTCATATGATTCATCCTACTTCATATAATATCAACGGCAGTCTTACTTTCATATAAGATAATGTGTTCCTTATTATGATTTTTGAGGTAGTTCACTAACATTAACAATATCAAAAAAAAAAAAAAAAAGTGAAGCAAATATTTGAGAGGAAAAAGAACTATGAATGGAAATAAGAATTGGAGCAAACCTTATCAAACTCTATACTTAATACAGCTGACTTCATTTCACAAGGAAATTGGAGGACCAGCTCCATTACCCCTGGTGATACTTTGTCTTCAGAAGGTGAAACTCGCATTCTCTCAACAAAATCTGCGAGTACTTGAGGCCTTTCATCAACTAATAATTGCAAAGTATGATAATATACCTTAACATACCAAGGCACAATTTGGAGAACATTAACTTGCAATTTACACCTCTCTTCAACATTATTGGCTGAAACAAGGCCCTTGGTCATTTCTGTCGATTTCAAGGATATTGCAATAGCACCCCTTTCATTTCCACTTCCCATCAAAAATCTACTGGCATATAAAGGTGCATGTGAGCTGGACCAAACAACCGGATGTTTCCACGTTAGGCCTAAGTCAAATTGTTCAATTTCCTTGTATTCTTTGATTGGATACTCATACAGAACTGAGGAGCTCTTTTCCAGTTCTGTATGCACCCTTTCAGGAGTAACAGATAATTCAAAGCCAGCATTCCCTCTAAAAGCTTCAGGACCTGTGTCATTAGCAGCAAATTTAGAACTTTTCTTCTGGAGATTATCAAGTTGAGTGACTAGACCTCTCTCAAAATGAAGGTAAATATTACTCAACTTAGCAAGTACGCATCTTCCACTGATTTTTCTTCCAAATATTGAACTCAGGGACCAGCTTGGTTGTATCTTTGTTTCGCCGACATGGTTCATACTAGCTTTCTGATTATTAGGCTGAAGTACAACTGTAAGTGTTTGTTCTAGAATAATTCCTGATTTTGACCCATCTGAAACAGCTGTGGGCATGATCAAGTGCAACCGCTGAGAGTGGTAAAAGCTTCTGTAAATAGATGGTCTATCCATTAAGGAAGAGAGTCCAGCTTTATCTCGACAAGGAAGGAGTTTCAACCAGGGAGTAAGATTCTCAGTGCAGACAGCTTCCCGTGGCAGTGTACCATATCTTAAACTGCCCAAAGCTGATTGAAATGCCCATTCAGGAGCAGAATAAGAGGTAGAAGACTCCAGGAAGTTGATTGAAGCACAAAACAGACCTGATAGTGAATGGGTTAAATTTTTCCAAGAAGCATCAACCTGATGTTGAGGGACATCAAAAACTGCCCACAATTCAACTCCTGGAGGCTTTGCATTGTGGCTTGATATTGGATCAAATCCACCCCATCTTTCGTAGTTCCATCGACCTTGTGTAAAAGATAACTCCATTGCTTTAATATGAAACTTCTGAACCTGTCCATTCAACACTAATCTGTATGTTACTAGTATATTCAGGAAAACACATTACAAGCTACCAGAATGTAACAAAATTATACAATCTTGCTGCTACAACCTCAGTAAAAGAGGAAAAAACTAAAGTGTAAGCAAAGAAAATCTGACTAAAACTATAGAAATAGTGGAATCCATAAGGTCCATTAGTATTTGATGGCATATAGAGGACTTCCTTAAAAACTATAGAAATAGTGGAATCCATAAGGTCCATTTGTATTTGATGGCATATAGAGGACTTCCTTAAAAACTTATAGCAGGAAAAAGCTTTTGTTCTTATTGTGAATATATAATATGTTAGAAAAACAAATATTTGCCTTCCTCAACACATCTTTTTAAGTGGGATAAAATGCAACAGAAGATAATATTCCTAAAACACCGGAATGGTGAAGATAAAAATTGAAAAGAACAGACATTTGGCCCTGAACTTATGTATATTGGTTTGCTCTAAGAAAACTGCACTAGTCTTTGTTCTTCTATGAAATGACACATTTAAATGAGAACATTTCAGACTCTAGCATATAATAGCATCCTGCATTTGTCCTCATTGTACCACTGCTACTCCAAAAGGTCTGATTAGTGATACTTTTGCGTAAATGAATCACAAGTGGATGGATGACAGGGAATTATCATCTTAATTAGTTAAAAAAGATGCACCATTATAGTAGGTAGCAGTGCTTGACATTATATTTTTGGGGCACTAAAACATCAATGTTTCATTTAACACCCATGGAACTATGAACCATTCAAACATGTAGAAAATAATGACTAAATTCAAATCTACAATTTTTTTTCCTGATTTGATCAATTCATGATAGCAAGCAATACAGTGCAATGAAAGCAAAAAAGCCAAATACTGAAACTTCTGTTTTATACCAGAAAAGCATGCTGAAACTAATTATTGAATCACAGTTTGTTTTGTAAAGTGTTTTATATCAACAAATATCATGTTGCAGCAAAACAGAGAGAGCTACAGATACCGCATCAGCATGTAATAAGTCTCTCATTTTCTCTCTCCCTTGTTTAATTAATTTCTAATAAGTATTTATTTAAAATAAAATAAAACAACTATAACTATAGAAACTTGCAGCAGCCATATACACTTCTAAACACAAATCTTAGGATAAATTACATGTGAACCAATGAGTTGTTGCACATGCAAGATAACAATGCCAAACATCTTGTACCTTTAATTAGTCAACTTCTCTTATATCTGGAAAACTTTATAAATCAAAATTCAACAATTTTTGCATTATCATAACATTCTGTAAATGTTTCAGATCTACTCAAAGTCACGATGAATATTGCCGTGCATAATGTGTGTGAGCAAGGCCACAAAAGCCACACCAATTATTGTAGAAATAGTCACTATTCATCCCTTTACTGATAATACGGCACTTAGATTGGCAGTTCAGTTTAGAGCAATCACCCTATGTTTGCCCAACTCTATCTTATATCTTTAATCAAATATTAAAAATGAGTTGAAGATGAAATGATCTTACAAGCAGACTAATGCTCATAGAAAAGCTCATATAGCACATTGCGGGTCACAACTAAACATGGAAAATGAGGTCATGTACACAACATTTAACTCTCTTTCCCAAGAGATCACTCATTTGCATAATAACAAATCAATTCAGTACCCATGCAACCCACATGTTATTGCCTGATACGAATATAGCAACAAAAATAGCCAAATGCATTCTGCCAAACTCTGCACCCACTTGCTACATTCTGTCAAACATCCTTTTTACTTAAAATAGCAAAATTTCTTAGAAGTCAAAACAAGCATTTTTATTTTTAAAAAGGCTGTTCACAAAAAAAAGTTATTATTTCTCCAAATTTATGGCCTGCCAAGGTATATTTCTCCAAGAGCCCTTATTGGAGAGAAAAATAATAAAGAAAAATGAAATAAACTTCAATATAAACTAAAATTTACTCATGCATACTTTAAAAATAAAATTTTGAAGAAGCTAACCGAAGAAAGCTTCTACAAATTAACTTCTGCATAAACTAATTTTAGCATATGAAGAAGTTTGTTTCATTTGTCCTTCCTATTTTTCTCTCCTGGAAGTGCTTACTGAGAAATTTATTCAAAAAGACCCTTAGCTCACACAAAAATATCCACAGATATCACTTACCGATCCTCATATCCATCCCCGAATATAAAATAAAACACATAAAAAGTTTCATCCACATTATAAAGAAAATTTTAACAACGGCAGAACTCATCCAAATCTACTGAAAAATTAGAAATGAAAAGCACCAAACTCCACGCATTTAAACTATTAAACCCGTCTCATACTGTTCCATTCACAAAACAAAACCCTAAAAAAAGTACAGACCAGCTGAGAAATAGATTTGGGGAAGAGGTGGTGGTGACGAGCGAACGAATCGGCGGCGAGAGGAGCTTCGTTTCGGAAGTGAAAGTGCGCGAGAATCTTGCGATCGGGCAAGGGCTTCAGCAGCAACTCCTCCGAGAACTCTTCTTCTGCTGATGCGGCCAACATCAGAGAGAAGAGGAAGAGAAGAGAGAGAGCGAAAGTCGCTTTCAGAGGAAGAGCCATTGATTCGGTGGCGTTGCTACCTTTGGAAATGCGCACTGAGACACTGTATGTGTATGTGTATGTGCCTGCTTGTTGCTACAGAGATTCCGCCATGGAAATTGGAAACGCACTTCCAGTGTGCGTGTGTGTGTGCGCAGTGCGCCCCTTCCTCGTTTCAGAAATCGTTCGCCAGTTCTGATCTCCTTTTGGGCCTAAGCCACCTTGAAGTTGGAGGACAACAACATTTGGGCCCGGGTTTGCTATCTGTAACCCCGTTTTACTCTTCACCCCCATCATTTTTTTTAAACATTTCCTAATTATTTTTACTCAGTAATTTATTATTTTCATCATATTCCTTTTTCTTACTTTTTCTGTCTCTCAAAGATACCTGATGGTTGATTTTTACATTTTAACATGAATCGATGGGATGACACTTTAATATTAATAAATTACTGATGTAGAAATTCTTACTATAAGTTTTATTTTATAAATTAATAGATTCTCTGTCTTTTCGAATTATAAAATAAACACTATAATAATTATAATATCATTTAGTGAGTTTATTTTTCTAAAATTTATTTAATATTAAAATTTATTTTAAATTAATAATTAATTAATTTTTCAATAAAATGAAATAAAATTAGTAAATTAATATTTGATACATTTTTAAACAATAAATATAGACATGTAATCTTTTTTTATCTTTTTAACTTCATTTTTTTTCAAATTTTTAATACATCACTAAAGTTATATTATTTGTTTTAATATTATACATTTATGTTATTTATTATATATATTAAATAATAGGTAAATTAATATTGCATTATGTATTTTACATATCACAGTGATTTTACTTGAATATTATCTCTCATGAAAAATACATGGATTTCTATAAAAAAAAATGATAGTGATTTTTCTTGAATTCCCACTCCTATACACGTGTTTCCACACAAAAAAAAAATATTCTCTATTTTTTATCAAATAAATATAAATTTTTTTATTCATTACGTGTTTTTCAGCTAAATAAACAATATAATATTAATATATTTATTATTGAATATATGTATCATATAATAAATAATATGTATTTATAACATTATAATTAATAAAAAAAAGCTCAAATATTTTTTTAATTTCTATAAAATAAACAATTTTTATTTTATTCTTAAAAAATATTTATTTTTTATTTCTCTAAAATTTAGAACCATTGTGTTTAGTCTTTACCAATATGTGAACAATTTGCTTTTTTTTTTTTTTTTGTTAATCCTCAAAATAAATGTTATTTAACTACCCTAAAATAATTATTGAAGACCAAAAATAGTAACTTTAGATTTTAGAGGCGTGGAAATCAAGGAAAAATATTTTACAAAAACCAAAACCAAAATTTGTTCATTTTAAAAATAAAAAATATTGTTTACAAATTTAAAAAGATGAAAAACAAAGAAGAAACTTTAAAGGGACTCAAATTAAAACTCGTTCATGTTCAAACTAAAGACATGGAAATCTTATATCTCCTAAAGACTTCTGTTAGACAAGTAGTCTCATATAACATAAGAGGGGGGTGAATTAAGTTTACCAATTTTTCTTCATTTATGAGTTTTTAGAAATACTTTCTTATAAATTCAATTCCTTAGACAAATTTGTATGTAAAGATTGATGATGCAAACTACTCAAACACAATTAATAACAATTAATTAGAATTTTATTTAAAAATAAATTACAAACTCATTTTATACTGGTTCAGCCAATCCTGCCTATGTCCAGTCCTCAAATCTCCAACTTGAGATTTTCACTATTCTTGTAATTCTTACAATACTTCTAATTTTCAGTCAAAAATATTTTTGTAAAATCTTTTTGAACACTCTTTTTACTTTCTTTTCAAAAAAACATATAAAAACTTACTCTTATATTCAAAAAGATTAAATTGAGGTTTTCTTGGAATCCTAGTTTTAATGGCCAAGTAAACTTTGCAATTTCTAAAAGTTCCTTTTATATATTTAGCTAAGTTGACAAGACTTATCTAGTTAATTCTTGAGATCTTGTTTCTTGATCAACTTGCTTTAACTTGACCTTTTATTTTCTACAATGCTTTAGCATCATCAAAACTTTGTGCATATGTTCTTCCACAACTTCGATGATAACAATAGGCATTAAAAATTTCTACTAAGAGTCTCAATACATAAAATTTTAGATGGTTTAACTCAAAAGAAAAACAAGTGTCAAGTCAACGTTTTTATAAAAAGTTGTCATGCAGCCAACCGTCTAGTGTACCAATGTTGTTTTGGTACTAAGTATTGCTTCTAGTTGACATGCCTTATATGTTGATCTATTAATTATACATGAAAATATTTATGTGGTGTTTTGTGCCAATAACAAATACATATTATTTAAGAAAAAGAACAGCGCCAGTTATTTTGTCTTATGCAAGACATGCCTTGACTTTACTTCTTTTAAGTAAAAACAAAAGAGTATATTATACCTATGTATTTTTGTTACCAAGTATTGCTTCTAGCTAATATGCCTTATATGTTCATCTCTTAATTATATATATGAATATATTTATATGATGTTTTATGCCAATAACAAATTCACATTATTAAAGGAAAGAATAGTGATAGTTATTTTGTCTTATGCAATGCTTGACTTTACCTTTTTTTGGTAAAATCAAAAGGGGTATATTGTATGTGTTTATCCACTTATGTTATTCAACATATAACCAATCTGCACAATGCAATTGTTGCAAAGCCCTCTCTCCTACATGGTACTATAGGATATATTGCACATGTTGTACCTTTTAAAAGGATGCATAAAGCAATCTGAACAAGTTGTTTTGCCACTACAAGAAAATATGGAGTTAGTAGGAGTTATTTTTGGCATTACCCACGGTCAAAACCCCAAGAAAATGCATTTCTTATGGTTTCTCTTCCCTAAAGCTTTCTCCCTCAATCTCTCTTTTTGGTGCCTTTATAAGGAGACCTTTTCTTGAAGAAAAAATAAATTGTGCAAAGTGATTGAAAATGAGACAAGCATAGGGACCACGAGAAGAAAAGTGCTAACAATATATAGTCCAAACTATCATACATACCCAACTCAATTCACCTTGAGTAGACATTTTTAGTAAATGATCCTAATACTCTTTGCAACCTTAGTGTTAATGAGTGTTGGATGATCTCGAAGTGTTTATAACTTTCACATCTTCACCTAGTGAGTTCAACACTCACTAGTGGAAAATTATTATATTACGTCACCTCTTTAACGTCGAACACACTAAAATCTGACGTAAAAAAGACGCGGTGACATTTTTGTGAACTCTTTTACGTCGGACCTGGTAGGGACCGACGTAAAATGTAAAATCTACGTCGAATGTACGTTGTGTCTGACATAGATTTTACATTTTACGTCGGCCCCTACCAAGTCTGATGTAAAAAAAAGATGCGAAAGCGAATAAGAGAGTGGGAGGTACACCCGCACGCATTCACTCACTCGGATCTCATCATCACTTTTCTAGATTTTCCTCTATAAACCCTCTCCCTCTCCTTTGTTGTTGAATCATTTTTTTTATCTTCTACAAAGTGGGGTGAACTCTTCGTTACTCATTCGCACACTGTTGCAGCTTATCAGGTATGAATCAGGGTTTCACTAACACATTTTTGCTTCGCATTGCTATTGTGGCTATCTGTTCTATTCGATTTTTTGGTTGTTCTATTTGTTTGGGTTGTTGGCCCTTTCTTCTGGGTTGTTCTATCAAGCAAAACGGCTCGTTCTCCAAGAAGAACGACCCGTTCTCCATGCAGAATGGGCCGTTCTCCATGCAAAACGGCCCGTTCTCCAAACAGAACGGGTCGTTCTGCTTGCACTCGTTATGTTTTTTTATTTATTATTTATTTACTACTTTTTACGTCGGACCTTGGTAATGTTCGATGTAAATTTACGTCAGTTTTGAAAATTGACGTAAATTTACGTCTCCCGCATTAACGTTAGACTTTTTTCTGACGTAAAAGCTTAAAAAAACTGACGTAAATTACCTTTTTTGTACTAGTGACTTGTAAAACCTCTCAACCTTGTATGTTGGTAAGCTTGAAAAGACTTAGTTGTAATGAAAACTTGGGATGTTCAGTATGTGTTGTAGTTGACAATATTGAACTTAAAAAGAGACCATAATAAGAGGAATTTAAAGAATGTACATGTGTGAGATAGAAGAGTTAAGGATGACTTTAAAAAAAATAATTAATATTACATATACCATTAAGATGAATCTACTTTAATAACTCATAATTAAGCATCTTTGACTTAATTTAAAGACTAGTGACCTTCTAAGAAGTTTCATAGAAAGTGTGCAAGGACAAAGAATGCTAAAATCTTTTGTGTTGATTTATGGAGACAATCGTTGATCCTAAAGGTGGTCAAGTGTATTAGAAAGGGCAAACCATAAAGGGTTCTAACAGTGAAGGATTTTGACTAACGAAGATTTGTGTGAAGTGTAACTGTATGAAGTTTTGCAACCACTAAGACGTCAAAGCTGATTATTACAAATGGTATCAAAGCTAGGTTTTCTCTTCCTGTGTAGTGTAGTTTGAGGAGAAACCTAGTGGAAACTAGGGGCTTATAACACCCAAAGGACACCAAAATGAAAGGGATCAAGAAGATGTACATGTTCGAGACTAGACAATTGAGGATGACTTAAAAGGAATTAATTTATACTACCTATACCATTAAGATGCATCTACATTTTGGTAGCTTATCACTTAAAAAACTCCATAGTTAATGGGTGACATTATATATGAGAAATTTCCTAAAAAGTATGTGAATGAAGACAAAGTACACTGAAAATTTGTGTTAATTTACAAGGATAGTTGTTGATCTTAAAGGCAGTCAAATATCTCAAAAAGGGCTACCCACAAAATTTTTTGTTAAGTGAGTGGTTCTAACCAATGAGGAGTTGCATGAAGAAGTGTCATCATGTGAAGTATTAGAGTTCAACCACTATTACATATAAAATACACTTAAAGGCAAACATACCTTATCGTAGTAGTAACAATGAAAAAAATCTAGCATGCATTTATTAGTGTGTGAATTCATGGGTGTAATTGTGCTAAGTTTCATTATTTTTACACTTACACATGTTTATCTTTTTGGTGACATTCTAAATGGGTATATATAATAAAAAAGATCAATATTATTGCTAATTATGAATGAGTGATTTTTGATTG